GCATTTAAAGCCCATCACAACCTGACTCCAAACGATCTTTCAAATCTTGTTGTACCTTATTCTACTGCACTCTGTGATGCAGACAGATTGGCTTTCTCCCTGTTCTCCACTGATGCTCCTTCTTTCCCTTACCCTAAATCTACAAAGCATTTCCTCCTTTCCTCCATTCCTAAAACCCCTTTTTCCTTCAAGACCCAGCTCTAGCACCACCTTCTAACATAAAGCTTTCCCTGTCCTCTCAACTGCTAGTTCCCTCCCTCCTAAACTACCTCTTATTTAACTAGTTTGTATTTATTTGTATTAAAATTTTTTCTGCATATACTGATATTTGTACTGTCTCCTCTGTTAGAATGTAAGCTCCTTGAGTATGGATTGTTTTTTTTTTAATTTGTAACCCCAGGTACAGTGCCTGACACATAGTAGGTACTAAATAAATGCTTGCTAATTTATTGTTGATTAATTGATGAGAATTCTGTATCAAAACTGAGAAAGATGAAGGAAAACAGCCATTTCCTCAGTAACTGAAACAGGAAGATTTTCTAAAACAGGCAGAAATTCATAAACTATCTAAACAGTGGAAGAGATGTGCCTTAGCAGACACATATAATACATTTATTGAATGTTTACTCTGGGCAAGGCACCATGTTTTTATATCACCCTAGGTTGAAGGGCCCTACTTTGGAGAAGGTGGGTGCGGTTCTTCATGACACGTTCAAGGTTCATAAAAGGATAGAATTTCAGAAGCTATTTAAATAGTGAAAAAGAGGTGGCTTAGCAGACAGATGGAAGTGGTAGCTGTGATTGTAGGGAGGGATCAACCAACACATTTATTGAATGTTTACTATAGGCAAGGCCCTGTATTTGTTTGTGGTTCTATTTTGATGAAGGATGTTTGTTGAAATAAATTGTTGAAATGAAGGATCAAAGGTAGATGTGGGATGAACAATGAGAGGAGACGTTGAGTTGGTGTTCCTAGGGGATTAATTTAAAATACTTAATTCACTTCAATAGAAATTTATTGTTGAGTCTGGTGAATCCTGTTGTAAGATTTTAAAGCATATGATAAGAATCTCAGACTTGATGTATATGGCAAAGGGAAATCATTGCAGAACTTTATGAAAAAGATCTAAAATTATGGGTGAATGTGGAAGCTTTGGCATCAGCTTCCTTGTGAATGCCTCCAGTAATTTTTCTTTGCCATGTGAGCTTTGGATTTTGGGTTTGACATTCCTGGGACTTTCCTTTTGGGGTTCCTTTCAGGAGATGATCAGTAGATTATTTCTATCTTTCTTTTCTTCTAGCCTGTGGTGCTAATAGATCTGGGCATTTTTCACTTATAATTTCCTTAAATATAGTGTCCTGACTTTGTTGTTGTTATTATGGGTTTCAGCGAATACAATGATATTTAAATTATCTCTCCTTTTCCTATTTTACAGATCAGTTGTTTTTAATGTCAGATGTCTTAAATTTTCATTTATTTTATCAAGTTTTAAAGTTTTTTTCTAATATTTTTAGAAGTCATTTATTTCTGTTTGAGTTATTCTAGTTTTCAGGAATCCATTTATTCAGCAAGTTTTACCACTTTCTGTTCTAAGCTACTTATTCTCCTTCCAATTCTTTCCTCCAACTATTTTATTTAATTTTTTATCTCTTGCTTCATTTCTTCTAAGAATTCATGTGGTCTTTGTGGAGAATCCATTTTCCCCTTTGAGTCTTTGCTTATAGTTGTTATGGAGTTTCTTTCTCCTTCTTTTGGGGGATTTCTAGAGCTATAATAATTTTTTAGACCGGTTGGCATTTTCTTTTACTCACTCATTTCTTGAGCTGTAGCTCCTGAAGTGGGGCTTTGGGTAGGCTCCATCCCTTGCTGTGTTTTAGGGTGGGGTAGTCAGCCTTGTTTGTTCTCCATCTGGGGCCCCAGAGGCTGACCTTCATTTCCTGAAGGTAGGCTTTGCTGGACCTTTGAGGCTGAGTGCTAGATTTTCAGGGCCATTGCTGGCTTCTCAGGACAGAATGTAAGGAACCAGGAGGTACCTGGAGGTTCCAAAGTTTCTGACCATCCTTGGGCTTACTGGGGGGAAACCCTTGATGCCTCTGGACAGAGAACCTTGAAAGCTACAAGTTTCTCTGCCCTGTCTCAGTCATACTGGGAAGCTAGCCTGCACTGGCATTGACTATACCTGAAGCTAGTGTCTTTTTCTATTACCTTTGTGGAGAAGTAGTTTACTGTAGTTTTTCATTGGCTTTCTTGATATTTATTTGGTCTGGGTTTTGCTGGAGTAGGTATTTGGGAGCTATACAGTCTGCCTCCCATTCAGGCAGTTATCTTGGCCATAAGTCCCAAAGAAGTTTTTTAAGAACAAAAAGAGGAAGAGAAACAAAATCACCAAATCAATTAACACATTGAAAAAAACCCACCAACCTGATTATTTGTAATATTTTTCATTCATGAATCATCCACTTCAAAAGAATAGAAACAAGTATCTTCTCATATGTCTTCTTTGGGGACAAGCTTGGTTCTTCTCATTTGTAACATTAATTTTTTTATATTTTGTGGTTGTTGGTCTTCGCACTTTCATTGTTGTAGTCATTGTGTGTATTGTTTTGTTAGCTCTGCTTACTTCATTTTATATTAGTTCATGTCTTTTTATGCTTCTCTGTATTCATCATATTTGTTATTTCTTACAGCATAGTAATTTCCCATTACATTGATGTATCACAATTGATTTAGAACTTTCAATGGTAATGTTAGTCATGTCCTAATATTCACTGTACTACTGAGAAACTAATTATGCATAAAACTACACTTAATATGTT